GGAAACTGAAAAGTATATACATATAACATATTTAACGGCCATTTCAGACATTCGCTGAATTAGAATTTAGCATTAACGAAATATCTTTAATTATATTGACCTTAAAATAAATTATCACGTTACTACATTTGATCATGGTTACCCTGATTCAGTAGTACCCTTATTTCACTGCGTTGAACTCTAATGAGCGTGTAATTGTATTTGTTGCAACAATGCCGCCCTCATGGGTCAGCTAGCTTATAACCTTTCTTTATATTGGTACACCAGAGAATGTATTGCTTACTCTGCAACCATGGAAGCCGCAGTGTTTACATGACTCCAGGTTTTACACCAACCACAGGTAATGTTCTTAGATACACCATGCTTTAACTAGATAGTATATATAAGGTACCGTTGAGCAGAGAAGTTGCAAACCAAGTATTCAGGGTGCCAGTTAGTCACTAGTGTTAGAATCGTTTTGTGAATATTTATATAACCGTCCTGTCGTTGTATTTTGAGTTTCTCGTATAACAAAAGATTGTCAGTTGTGGAGACAACAATAGCTATTGTTGAGCAATGAAACGCGTGCATTCACGATAGTGGATAAGAAATTGTAAAGCCACGAAATCGTTAAAATTTAATAATATATTTAAGAGTCGATAGTGTGTGCTCTATGCTGTCACATTGCTGTTTCTTCCTTTGAATTGTTGAGTTTAATTACATTCCTTTGAACTCAGGTGGTTCAGCTGAGACTTGTCACATCGTCGATACACACCGACCGTCACGGGCGGAGCTGATTCCATCTTTCAGAAGGTTGACGGCATTAACACGTGCGTGGAATTATCGTTGTCGTTGGCAGGAATTGCGAGCACGGATACCGTCAACTTGGTCTCCACTTTCTAATACAGTGCCGTGGTTTGTGTTGTGTCGTACGCTATGCAGGCCTTGCGTGCTATGTTTGTTTCTACATTGACGTAGCCTACCGGGACGACAAAGAAACGTGGCGTTATTCTTTGTAATTTAACAGTGAAAGGGAATTCCGACAATATGTCGTCGAGTGCGCTTTACAAGGTCGTTACAGAGTTGATGTCAGCCAAGTATGAGGTAGTTCAACCGCTTGGTAATGGTGTGTTTGGTACCGTATACTTGGTGAAAGATAGCCGTGGTACCGAAATGGCCATGAAGAAGATCCAGTGGCACAGGGAGAGGGCAGGTTACGACAGCGCTATCAGAGAATCGAAAGCGTTTGCTCTGACAAGACACCATGCCCACGTAGTAGAATGCATCGATGGATACGCTGACGAAAACTATGCGTATATCGTGATGGAGTATTGCGATGGTGGCAACCTAAACAAATATATGTTGGCTCGTCAATTCAACTACCAGGAAAACCTACAAATTATGTTGCAATTAGCGGACGCCGTGTCATTTCTACACCACAATGAAATACTCCACCGTGATCTCCGACCGCACAATATATTGATTAAAAAAGCAGCTAAACGGTCGGGACCTAGTTAAAGTTACTGGTTTCGCTGTTTCCGTTACTCCCGATAGCAAGCTAATTTTACATGGAGGCGAGGATTCTCCCGACGAGTTCATGAAATACATATCATCTGTAGAAAACACGGAGGCATTCGCTGCTCCTGAAATTTACAGCAAAATATACTAGTATGAAAATGGACGTGTTTTCGCTAGGGGTGCTGTACTTAGCTTTATTGGAGCGGGAGGTGAACGACTACAGCGACAAACACGCCACTATTGTAGCCATGTACAGCTACGATGACTCTAAGCCCAGGTATATTGGCCGAACATTGGCATCTAAACACGGTGCCTCACGCACCTTAGATTACGACGTTAGCGCCGATGAGAGACTACGAAATTTGGTGAATTCGATGATTCTGGCTAACCCGGACGAGAGGCCAGTAAGCGATACCGTATATGGTTCATTACGTGAAATAACTGATGGTAAGATTCCATTAACAATTTTGTTTCAATTACGTCACACACTTGTTCATACATTATTACTGCTACAACATCTGTTAATTTGTAATTTCATATCGTAGAATATTTTATTCATAACTGACATATCAGTTTCTATTGAATTGAATAATTAATGAAGAAATGTTTTTTAGCTCAGAGTGTGTTTCCAATCAATTGCTTCTGCCTCACATTGTGCACTGGGGCGTAGTAATAAGTCTACCGAGAAATAATATAATTTCCCGACACAAATAACCCTATAATTACAGTATCAAAGTTACCTGTGCCTAATTACACTCATGATTATTCGGAGTAGTTTCGTCTTCGTGATTCAGTCGTGTTCCCGCGTTAGTGGTGACAAGTCGCACATAACCCCCAAACTTGTAATTAGCAAGATTTTGCGGTTGCCATGGCGATGTTACAGTTAAAGATGGGTCATTTCAATTCACGTATTGAAATTTGGGTCACACTATATTTCGCATAATACTTTAAAAAAAAGTGCACACACGAAGGCATCGAAAAGTCACAAAATTTGTGTTTAAACAATTAGCTTCTGGCTACATTGATATAATCCCCGTTAATTGTTCGCTACTTTGTTTTCGTTGTGTTACCTCCACCATAGCCTGGAATACCTATTGTATAACTGCAGCCATTCGGTTACTATGGCGACATTACGATTACCTCATATCAAAGCTAGTGCACAATACACTAAATTGTATTTTATCTAAAACGATAGCTTCGATTTATTGCCAAGGTTATCGATATTTATCGGTGTCTTCGGGCTAACAATCGGTGGGATGTGACGTACATTGTCCACACAACAAAGCATTATGGGATTTAGTGACGTATACAATTGCCGTTGGTGTGACAGATTAGATTTCATGTTCAACAAAAACAACTTGAATACAATCTCTGTATTTGGTAGCGTTGTCAAACATATATTTCAACTAGTACACCTGGTAGTACGTGTTGTAAGAAAGTTTATTTGAATGGGAAGGATTTGCGTGATTTCCTGTGTGTGTGTAGTGTTTTTGTACTTGGAGGTAAGGTGTATATCCGTTTGTCTGTTACCACATCTCTTTTCACGAGCTATTCACCAAATTCAGACCAAACTACATAATTTTGCAGATCTGTCTATGGCATAAATCCGTGCATATTAATTAGTTAAATTTACATATCAACTAGGCGTGTCTGTTTCATTATTATATAAAGTACCAAGTCAGTCAGTCAGTCAGTCAGTCAGTCAGTCAATACAAATACCGGTTTATGTAATACTAGTCAGTTTGAAAAAAATGAACCGTATTCTGTATTTGGCTGATATAGGCAGGGACATATGAGTGTTCTACGGGACCAAAACAACCTATTTCCACTTATTTTCTTATTATCTTATTTTATAAAATACGGGCTTCTTTTAGAGAACCACCAAGAAGATACACTTTCTTCTCATACTATACGGACGTCTCTGCGCATTTGATGTGATCAGGTGAAACTTCAATAACAAAAATGTCTTCCGCTGCACAAACTCTTTCTTCTTGTCTTTTTGAGTAGAATTTTTTGGTTTTCACAAAATACGAAACGCGCATATACAATAGACTGAACTGATTACATATTACATCCCAAAATATACCACATTGATAAACCACAATTATAATATCATTTATTTCAATTATCACACAATACATTCCAATTGATAACAGAATATACCACAATTA